CCACGGCAGGCTGTGCCACGCACGGTCCAGTCGAGCTGTGAGTAGCTCCAAGGATGAAGACCCCAAAAGGGCAACTCGTTCCAGTGCTTGCCATCCTTGCAGTAAAAAAGCTTTTTAAATTTTCCTTTTATTTAAGCTTTTTTTTTTTTTTCTTTTTAATGCTTAAGTGGAATTTCCTGTGTTTTAATGTGTGCCCATTGCCTCTTGTCATGTCACTGGGCACCACTGGGAAGAGTCTGGCTCCGTCTTATTTACTTCCCCCGTGAAGTGTTTATGCACATTGGGAAGATTGTGGACACTCCTGATTCCCAAACATTAATTGGCCGTTGCGGGTTTGTGGGTGCTTTGCATTGTTGCTTCTTTTCCACTTAGAGGGGTGAGGAATCAGTGTTTTGCCTGGGGCAGCGGCAGCTCTGGGCTTTCTCTGTGTGCTCTTTGCCTTCAGAGGGAAATCCGCTGCAGGTTGTTCACGCTCTGCGTTCATAGACGCCCGCATTTGAGCAGGTCTTCAGTATTGTCCAAGTGAATGTGTTTGCAAAAGCTGTGTTTTCTGCTCATTTTTATCAGGCGTAGAGGCACCGGACCAAATGTCTTGTAGGATCTGCATATTATGGCAGGTATTGTACTGCTTGAAGTTCAATATTTACATTGTGTTTAAAGTTGGGGGCTTCCTCCTTGAAGGCTGGAAGTCTTCAGTTACAATGCTACTGCATTTTTTTAAGATTTGCTACACCTTAACTTACAGATATTTTGCCTTCTTAAAGTTCTCTTGGCTTTTCTGACTCTGGTAACTAAATAATAAAGCAAGGCATTTGCCAAAAGTGCAGTAGTCTTTGTGGTGTCATTTAAAAGTTAGCTTAGGGTTTGGACCTACTTCATGTAATAGAAGTTTTGATATGGAAGATGAAATGTTTGTTGGCATTTTAAGGATAGCATTTCAGGAAAGCTAGCTGGCAGTCTCCAATAAGAGCTACTTCCCAGCTGGGTCAAACCAATAAAGTGACTCGTAGGAGGGAAAACTCAGTTTATAACATGAATTTTGTTTTGGTTTGTTTTTTAGTAGACTGTTTTCCAGGACTTATGCCAGAGATACTGTGAACAACTTTCTTAATTGCTTATGTTGGGCCAAATGTCAGCAGCATTGTGGCATAATACAAAAACCAAATGGCAGGGTATGCAAAAGGTTAAAGTGAGTTTTCCTTCCTGGTGTTTGTTTAGCTTTGTTCCCTAACTGTATTTGTAGCAGAAGTAGTCTCGCGCGTCCTAGATTAAAGCCACAGCAGTCTGGGCTATTTTGGTGGCTTGTGCGTCCATTGTGCTGGGGTGGAGGGATGGGGTACGCCTCTGACCTCTGCAGCTCCACTTCAGCAAAGTACCTAAGTACATGCTTAACTTGTAGCCCATTGGGATTTCAGGTCTACTAGTTCACCCGCCCAGGCGGCACGTCGGGCAGGTTCACTTTGCCAGAATCTGCTGGAAATACTCCTCTGGAGACCGCTTCTGGCTTTCAAAAGCTTGAGGGTAAGATCAGATTGCATCGTTACAGCGTGAATCTCTGCTAAGCTCAGAGCAACGTCTTCGGAGGGATAGTCTGTGCATGCACGCTACGTCCAGTGAGTCATGGGCATTTGAGATATCCTGCCTGTAGGCAAATAGTTGCGTGCCCAGGACTTCTGGATTGTCAGACATCCAGAAATCTTGGGCAAATGGTTAGACTCCTCTTTTTCTATACCAGCAAATTCTTGGGGAGAAAAAATACAGCCAATAGACACGTGGTTTATTGCTGAGTTGCAGCTTCCTTTTAGCGATAGAAGGCCTGTGTCTTCTGTGCAAGCTTCCCTGAAGGTGCAGTGTGGGATTTCTGAGGTGCTGTATGGGGTGCTCCTTCAGTGGCATGGACCTGCAGGCAGAACAAGCCATGGGCTGACCAACAGTAGGAACTGGATCATCACATTGGTGCTTTGATTCTTTGATGCCATTTCATGCCTGGTGATGAACACCTCCAAGTCTTGTTGCGGTCAGCAAACGGCCCCAGTCTTCCTGCTGGTCCAGCAATGGTGGTGTCTGAATTCAGACAACATGCAGTGAAATGAAATTCTCTTTTGCAGATTGAATTGCAGACTTGAGGCTCTGGATCCAACTCACACTAACGGTGTTTTATTGCTCCTTATAGTGTAGCTGGTGATTGTCCCTGAGAAGAGAGAAGATGATGAGTGATGCAAGTGACATGCTCGCTGCGGCTCTGGAGCAGATGGATGGCATTATAGCAGGTAAATGCTTGGGGCAGCTTGTTCATTTAGCTGTTTCAGTCCTCCTTTTTCATCCCTGGAGGGCAGAGTTTCAGGGTTAGAAGGGAATGTGCTGGTAATTATGTTTGGTGTCTTCCATTGTAGCTTAGCGATTACAAATAAATGGAGTGGAGGGATTGCACAGGCTCTCACACACAGACACAACTAAATGGATTGTAGTTTTTCTCCTACCCTCTATCAAAATGCTGCTCAAAGTGGCTGAGTGACACCGTTCAGCTGGTGCACACAGCACCACGAAAGCCAAGGACGAGGCACCTTTCAAACCAAGATGACTGTGTTTAAAGAGCTGCTGCAAGGCAGGAAGAGTAAGTTTGCCCAATACTGTCTGCTCTGAAGAGTTAAAACATGAACTGAATTCTCCTTTTTTCAAAATTGGAATGTTTTGGACCCAAACATTTGGCTTGGATCTGCCTTTAACATTTGAGTTTTTATAAGTACCTGTAAATTGTAAGTAGACTAAGGAGAGGCATCACAAAGTATACAACCTCTGCTTTTGAGTCTAGTGAGTTAGAAAATAATGTAAGTGCACAACACAGAGGAGCAAAGCAGTAAGAAATGAATAGTTTAATCCTATTCCAGCAGAGCTGTTCAAACAGCTACCCAAACTGAAAAAATATTCTGCAAGGATAGCAACACAGTTATAAAGTCTTTAATAGTTCCACTTACAATAATTTCCCTTAGGGAAAAAAATAATCATGCAGCGCATGCTTTGTTTGAACAATGACTTTTCTCTGCACTTTTCCTAAAGATATTAAGAACACATAGCAGGAACACATGTAAAGTGGATTCAGTTGGATCATAATGATCTTTAAAAATACATATAAGCTGTGACTTTAGTAATTTCCATAAGTAGATACTGGTATTTAGATCCAATCATGTATCCATGTTTCCAAGAGCCTAAATTGGTTATGGCGGGATGAGGATTAATGTAAAAATAAAATGTCATGTTGGGATGTTTAAGTCACCACAGACTTAATTTACCCGTGTGTCTGAACAGACTTACAAAGTAATATAACAAAGGGATATCAACTCCTGTGCTGTTGTGGGGATTTCTTAATCTTCATTTTTTTCAAAGGGAATTAGCAGAATACTTGCATTTTTGTGGCTTACCAGATAGGTGAATGGAAGTTCATGGAAGTGCATATATGGCATATCACTGTAGTTTCCAAAAGTTGACAGTACAAAAGCTGATGCTCTGTCATGAACATGTCTCATTGTGCCGAGGCATTACAGTATTAAGGTCACAAATCAGTGTGCTGAAATTATAGTTGGAATTAGCTAGGTTGACTTAAATCAACCTTAATCTTGAACTTGTGGTTTCCTTTTTCCTTAATATATAGCAACTTTTAATGTAGGTCAAATATACATATTGTGAGTTTATGCAAATAAGAGATTTTTCTCTTTATTAGCATGCAAATGTCAGTGCTACCATGTCAAACTGTTGGGTTTAAAATTTATTCTCATATAGAAGTGATTCGCTCGTATTTATCTTCATATTTTTCTTTATTCTTTTAAAAAAATTTCCAGTGCCTTGGAACAGCGTAGCGTATTTCTGCCTGAAAAAAAGATGCAGAGCACCATTTCCTCTGGAAACCATCAGTGTCCGACTTGGGTCATGCAGCCCCTACAGGGTGACTCAAAGCGTTAGCAGGGCCTGTTCCCCCCGCAGTACTTTCCGCCTGCCATACATCCCAGGGAGCAGGAGCCCAGCCCGCGCCTTGAACCCGTGGGCATGGTGGTGGCGTACATGTCCTCTGTCAGATCAGCCCACCTCCTTCCTGCTGGAGCTCCCATCCGCGTAGCACTGCTAGCGAGGGCTCGCCCTTCTCCAAATTGCCACGTGGCGCAGGCAGAACCCAGCACCAGCGCTGAGTTTGGTTCAGATAAATGCCCGCTGGCAGCAAACACCGCCTAGCGTTTCTCAGCCTTGCTGCAGGTCTGACCTGCTTGCCTCGTGCTTGACCCCGTGCTATTTTGCTCACTCCAGGTTCGAAGGCGCTGGAGTACTCCAATGGCATCTTTGACTGCCAGTCCCCCACCTCTCCCTTCATGGGGGGCCTGCGGGCGCTGCACCTGGTGGAGGACTTGCGGGGCTTGCTGGAGATGATGGAAGCGGATGAGAGAGAGGGGCTGCGCTGCCAGGTCCCGGACTCGACGGCAGAGACTCTGATCGAATGGCTCCAAAGTCAAATGGTACAGTCTTGCCTTGTTTTACTCGTAACGCGCTTGTTTTGTGTGTTACCTAGACCAGCTCAGGCAGTGGGGCTGGCTTTTAAATGCAGGGCATTTAAAAGTTTTAGAGTAGGTTTCAAAGAACCAAAGGTGGTTTTTGGCTTTTTTTTTTTTGGTTTGGAGATGATGCTGTGGGGCCTTGGAAAAGCTGTAGCACAAATACCTTGTGCAGTGTATTGGCCTGTGGTTTTTTTAATGTACCACCGTGCCTCATTTTGGGAAGAAAAAAAATTTTCAGTAATTAGAGTTTCATCTCGGAGGTTTGGGGAAAGTCATTTTTATAGGAATCAGAAACTTAAAAGGGGGAGAAAAAAAAGCTGTTTTCAATATGAACTTTTCACTAAAAAGCATTTTTGGCAGCATATTTTCTACAGGAACCAGTGGTGTTGCTGAGCTTCCTTACCTGCTTTATAACAGAAGTGAGTGCTATAAGCTCAGCATCCCTTTAACCTGGAAACCAAACCAAATTTTTATTTTCTCTGTTTGTGACAATCTACCAGTTTTTGTCATCCTTACTTTAAAAATACGCCAAAATATACCTGACAAGGCTGTTCTTTCCCCAAGACTTTGATTTTCCCAAAAAATCAAATACTATTCGAGTGCAGGCTACCTGAAGGATACACTGGGAAATAAAATGTTGTGCTTATCAGAAGGTGAGTTACATGGCATCATTTTCAAAGAACCCACTGGTTTTACCTCCAGGTGCCCTGTGACCGGTGACTTCTTAGCAGGGCCAAATAGGAGTCCTTGTGCTCGTGGTCTGTGGCAGGGTTTGCGTTGTGGTGGTGTGGGTGCGCACGCAGGTTTCAGCAAAGCTCCAGCAGTGGAAGTCAAGACTTATTTCCAGAGGCCGCGCTTCAGGGTTTAAGTCAGCCTGTAGCTGTAACAGTGACAGCAGCAGTGGGTGTGCACTTCTGCAGGTTTTGCAAAATCCATATTACTGCAGTGTCCAGGTCCTCCTGTCTAACATACTTGGCATTGGCCAAGGTAACGCCGTACTGCTGAAATGGGGATGCCAGATCTGATGAAGGCTGGGTCTGATGCAGGACAGGACAGGCCACTGTGGTGGCTCTGTGCTGCACCCTATGCATTGCTGCTGTTGGGACAGGCGGCCACCATCGCCTGGTACCTCCCCAGGATGGGCATCACACCCCCTCAGAAAGGGTTTGGTCACGCTGGAGTCATGGCTGACCTTGCGTAAAATGTTTTTATCTTGATACAGAGATTTATTTCAGCTCTCAGTTGCAGCCTGGAGTGGTGGGTGTGGGACTGCGTTTGGCCTGTGCTCCCCAGCCACAGGTTTGGCAGGCGTGGGGCTGGGGCTAGCGCTGGGTGACCCAACGTGCCATATAGCGTCATGCAGGCTGTGCGCAGTGCGGTGGGAAGAGACGGGGACCGGGGCTAGCACAGCCAGGCTCGCTTGCCTAGCTCTTGTGGAAAGGTTTGAGGGGAGAGCTTTCTGCACACCTCCCCCTTTGCTTTGAACTGCGCATTTGAAAATGCGTGAAACTTAATGAAGCACATGGGAGCTTTCCCGCTGCCTCCAGTGGGATTTGGATCTCGCCCCCGCTGTCAAAGCATGGCAGCCAACGCTGAGATCAGGAGGAGGAGACGGGAGTGACATTCAAGTCAGATCTTCAAAACACGCAGAGTTCCTGCTAACGTCAGCATTTCCTTCCTCTCTAATGTACAGCAGTGAACATAGCTGTAAGTAGTCTGCTCTGTGCGGAGCAGAAATCAAGGGACATAACAGGTTTCATGCAAGTATGGGTTTTATAAACAAAAAAAATATTTATATGCCAAGTAAACAGCCTTGGAAAATTAACTTCTCCCCATGGCATGCATAGACATCAGTAGTCCACACTTAGCGATGCTCATCCACCACATGTTATTCTGGAGTAAAGGCACCCAGCAGTGTGGCCAGAGGCTGTAGCGTCTGTTGAGATTAATGAGGCGAAGGTCAGTCACCGCCCCTTGTGGCGGCGAATGTGTGATTTAGGGATGCCTGGCTGTTAGGATCTGGAACAAGGTCCTTCAGACCTGCGTGACGCGGGTCATCGCATGGCAACGAGACAGTAATGGTTTTCCTTGTGGCCATGGGCTGAGTCTGGGAGAGGAAGGGCTCTGTTGTGCCATTCAGCTTAGTGCCTCCTGAGCACTGGAAAAGATGTGCAAAAGGTTGCAGAAAGTAGCTGTTCCATCTATACTTCTCCTTAGTCTGCCTGAAATTACTCCCCTGTACCTTCTGGCATCCTTAAAGCCCCTAGTAGGAAAGACTGAACGTTACACTTTGTACTGTGCTGCAAGTGTGGGATTTGCAGGTGTCACCAGTTCCCTGTCTGAGCAGGAAGGTGTTAGGTGAAGTGCCTGGATGATTTGCAGGAAGGCTTTCTGCAACTGTGCCCATCCTTACTGAGGAAGGGAGGACACCTCCTTGGTTTCAAATCGGTTTAATCCTCCACGCATGAAGAAGTTGCATCCACCAGGCTATTCCAAGCTGCTGGAACTGGTGCGTGACATCCCATCCGAAGCTGTAAGCAAGTCTCTCGTGTCTCAGAGGAAAACAAAAATAGTGTTCGCTGCTGCCAAACAGTGTGTCACAAGAGAAAAATCCTCTCCTGGCCCCTGCAGGGAAACCGCTGATGCCCTAGTTGGGAAAAGGGTCTGACAGCAATCTCCCAAAGTTGCTCGCTTCTGTAAAACGGGGCAAAGCATTCAGTTTTGCCGTGCCGGAATTGGCTGCCCCGTGTCCCTGTACCGCTTCTCTCGGCTCCTCTCGGTGTGTAAGTTGATGCAAGCACTCAAAAAGGGCCAAAGAGTTAAAATGCCTCATGCTGATTTTTTTTAACTGGTGGATGCCAGATGGCCACGTGACACCAGAGCACACGTACAGCGCCCAGACATCTGGCAGAGCTCTTCCAAGAGAATCCATCGGATGGTCCCCACGGGGAGTTCGGAGAAGCTGAAAATGCAGATCTGTGCTGCACAAACAAGCCAGTTTAACTGTAACACGTCATTTCTAGTTGTCCGTCTACAGCTCAAACCTGATCTCTGTGTCGCTGAAACCCTGCTCACATCTCCATGTGTGAATGGATGGCAGGTGCATGTTGTGGTTAAAATTACAAATGAGGCTATTTGTTCAAAGTCTGGAAAGGGACTGTGGGCTTTCACTGGGGACCAGACCTGAAATCCATAGCCAGATCATAACTATTCCAAACTTCTGGAGTTTTTTCAGATTTCTCCTGATCAACAGAAATGATAAATATATTCTGATGTGTGCTTTAATAAAACATGTGCTGTACTCTGTGAAAATGGAGCTTCTGGCTTGAATATAGACAGCATGCAAGTAATCTGTAACATCACCAGTAACAAGACCATTTTAAATGAAACTCTGCCTTTTGCAAGAGCATAGCAGACCCGTTGTGTCCAGCTGGAAGTTGATAGATCCATCTCTTGAAGAATAATTCTCAGAAAACTTGCTCCCAGTCATGAGTGTTGCTCCAGTTTTTCTTCAGTTGAAACAAACAAGAGACAGTCTTCTTTCTGGTTATTCGTATTTTTCTTGACACTGTTTTTTTGGTGGGTTTTGGTGTGGGTTTTTTTTTTTTTTCTTTTAATACATCTTATGCAACAGTCTTCCCAGAAAGAAGAAACCAACTGTGTCTTGTTAAAAAGGAGGGTGAAGGGTAGAAGTGGGTGGACAGTGCCTTCCCACACCTCCGAGCCAGCTTCCCCAAGCTCCTGATCTGAACTTGTGTATGCGGGTCCCGTTGTGTGTCTTCTCCTCTTTAAAGGACAGGCTTCTGGAACAAAAGAGCCAGGATAATACTTTTTTTTTAAAATCCACAGCAAGTGCAACTGGGGTTTTAGCTTCAGAAGTGACTTTCTGAATTTGAATATATATATATATATTTTTATTTTTTTTTTTCACTCCAGAAGTGAATTTCTGAAGTTGACTATAAGATCATTAAAGCAAAACAAACTTTATGGCCTCCAAAGGTTTCTTGAAGAACATTTTCAGCTCATCTGAAGATGATAGTTAATTTGAGCTGTGGTACCCGTAGCGGCTTGTGCAATCCAGAGTGTTGCTGTTGTGGATAGCAGATCTGTCATTTCACAGACCAGCCTCCAATTTTGACACTTCTTCAACAAGTTGGTTCTTCCAGAGAGTGACTGGGAGTAATGAGAGTTAATATGAAGGGATATTAGATTTCAGAGAGAAGTTTTCCTTGCTGGATAAACATAGCTTGTAATGTTACAGAGATATATTGGCCTATTTGGATGACAGGGTTGATATTTAATTTGAGCTGGGGTCCCCGTAGCGGCTTGTGCAATCCAGAGTGTTGCTGTTGTGGATAGCAGATCTGTCATTTCACAGACCAGCCTCCAATTTTGACACTTCTTCAACAAGTTGGTTCTTCCAGAGAGTGACTGGGAGTAATGAGAGTTAATATGAAGGGATATTAGATTTCAGAGAGAAGTTTTCCTTGCTGGATAAACATAGCTTGTAATGTTACAGAGATATATTGGCCTATTTGGATGACAGGGTGGTTCCCAAGTGGGGGAAGCGGTTTGGTTAGCCAGAAATCATCTCATATTTCTTATTCATGTAAAAATCTTGTCTTCAAACCAAAGTTTGTTGTTTGATTGTCTTAGTGTGGGCGTACAGTGCATTCATTTGGCTCCACTTGTGTTTATGTCGAGTTTAGCTATCGAAAGGTCCTATGGTAATGTGCGGCACATAGGCGTTTACCATCAAACACCTGTTTGAGATCCCTCCTCAAGCTGCAATATGAAAGGAGCCTTGTGATACCCTTTCAGTCTGTCATCATAAACTGCCTCCAGGCAATACTTTTTGTCCGTGAGAGATCTACCTCTGAAAGTTCTTGAAACACAGGACCCTGCTTCTTGCTAAAGGTGATCATCCAGACTGGTGTGTTTTTAACACTGGAAGATAATAC